GGTTCCCCAGCAATTTTTAGGCCAGCTTTTCCAGGCCCCCCCGAAGGAAGCAGTGCCCTGACCCCTGAATAGGGGCTGCTTGATGTGCCGGCGCGGCCGAACTCCACTGTGGGCCACGAGTTTTTTTGGCAGTGGAAGAACGCCTCGAATTTGCCAATGGCTTACGGCATTGCCGCAAGCCTGCGGTCGCCTACGGTGCACCAGATGGGCGCGTGTCGACGGTGCCAATTCGGAGATCCATCCCACCGGCTGATCAACGGCGTTCCAGGCGGAGCCTCGTCTAGACGATGCCGATGCGACGTTCCACCACCAAACGGCTGACCAGCGGTGTGTCAGACAGAGCCTCGTCACGACGGCGCCGACTCGGTGTTCCATCCGACCAATCGTCCACGGAGTCCGCAGTCACCTGTGCACGCGGCACAACGCGCACAGGGAGTAACCGCCCTCATCTGGTTTAGCCCGCCGGTCGAGACGGTTGCCCGGGGTGTGGCCGCTGAGCAGAGCCCAGCTACGTGGAGCCACAGGTGAGAGTTGAGTGCCAGCAAGTGGACGCTAGGCGTAGTCTCACCTGCAAGCAAGTGAGCGACCACTACGACCTTCACGTGAACCCACCGCTGACACCCCTACACCCCATTCAACAGATACTTCTCAGCTAACTACACAGTCGAAGAGAGAACCATCCCCCAACCGACCGAGATGACTGAACGCATCCTTAGTGAGATCCATTTTGGTGAAGAAACTGTTAAAGTAGCCATCAAACAACTATCAAACACCAAATCCTATGGGACAGACAAAATCCCACCATGTATTCTGAAGCATATGACATATGCTCCAATACTCCTATCTAAGTTATTCAACCTACTCCAGTCAAATGCAATTTTTCCGGACATGTGGAAATACTCGACCATTGCGCCCATATTTAAAAGCGGCAACCGATCTCATACCCAAAACTATCGTGGTGTTCACCGAACACCGGCTATAGCTAAAATCCTCGAGAAAATAATATATAACCAATTGCTAGACCATCTCATGAACGCCAACCTCATTCCCTCCTCTCAACATGCATTTTTACCTAAAAAGTCATGTCAGTCCTGCCACCTTACTTTTTTGGAATTCGTTTCCAACAATAGAACTGATGGAAACACAGTAGCTTCAATATACTTCGATCTAAGAAAGGCCTTTGACAAAGTCCCCCATAAAAGACTACTGATAAAGCTAAAAAGTCGTGGGTTCAGGCCACCCCTTCTCGATTTTCTTAAATCCTATCTTCACAACCAATACCAGATGGTGCAAATTCGAAACGTCGTCTCAGAACCATCCCCTATTACCAGTGGAGTACTTCAAGGCACTATCCTAGGCCCCCTTCTATTTCTTATATACATTCACGACTTATCGTCTATATCTGTCTCAGCTAAGACGTTTTTATATGCGGATGCATATGCTTATAACGGAAATACAGTAGCCAATATTCACAGAACAATTGAAACGGATCTCAGAAAACTCAGTAAATGGAGTAGTCAGTGGCAGATGCCCTTTTCACCCGAAAAATGCCATCACCTGATATTTGGCCCACAAAAACTTCCCCCCTTAATTTTCGAGGATTATGAAATAACAGAGGCCCAATCTATAAAAGATTTAGGTCTCAGCTATACAAATACCCTTGATTTATCTCCCCAAGTCCAACAAATATCACCGAAAGCCACTCGCCTGTGTGGATTCATATGTAAAAATGTCACCTTAAATGCACTAAGAATACAACTGTTCAAAATGTATGTTTTACCTCTCCTAGATTACTGTTCAATTTTCTTCGACATAATGCCCTCAGACGGCCGAAAGAAACTAGAAGGCATTCAGAGACGTTTTACTAGATCTTTGTCTAGAAGTGATGGCATCCAGAATTCATACTTAGAACTATATCATAAATACGGTCTTCGACCACTCTGGATCAGAAGACATCAAAATGGTTTAGACTTCCTATTCAAGGAACCAACTTCCGCGCGGTTTAAATTTTGGACTCGCAAGAAGGAAATTTCCAAACGGTTTCTACTCTCACAGAATAAGGCCGCTCTCCACAAGAATTGGCTTGAAGAACACCTCATTGCCTTCACTTACATCGGCATTTTATCTTACGACCAGGACACCTTTTCCGCTGTCTTCACCTTCCACCGGAACGGCTGAGTCGATTTATTCTTATTATTATTTCTGCTTGTTACGCGGTTTATAGTCAGATCGCTAGAAACTTTCAAACGTAAAATTAGTTAAAACGCTCGTCAGACCTTCCACTCGCAAGTTATTTTGACAGACCACTAGAAAACGGTCACATCTGAAATTCTTTCCCGAAGATTTCCCTTTTTACACAAATTAGGAAAGCACTACGAACATGTGCGCTGCTGCTCAAAATATGCCTCCATGCGGAGTCGATCTCGCGACCTTCAAAAGTCCGTTCATCAGCCCAGACCGCTCGGCCACCGCGGCACGGTTGCCTGCCCTCCCACAAAATTACATGGATTATACGGGCGAGCCATACGCAAATAGGCTTTGTGGTGGGTGTCAGCTGTTAGCCTCCAGGGTCAACCATCTCGAGAAAGAGATTGGGAAATTAAAGGCTCTTCTAGAATATGACTTATACGCACCTGAAGATACAAGCGCTCCCACTGGACGAATAACAATGAGTAAAACAAAAGTACCTCCCTTGAAAGGCTCTTCAGAAATGCCTCCTGTAGCAGATACGGCTGCACAGGATCGAATGGCAAAAAATAAAAATGACAGCAGTCAACGAGAAAAACAGAAAGACAAAAAGAAATCGAATTGTAAAAAAGCCAATGAAAATGAACAGCCGCTTCTAAGTGATATTCCCACAGCACCCGAGCCAGAAACCACTACAACAGCCCCGTCCAAAACGGTTAATGCCGAAAGTCCAAAAACAGTTCGTAACGCCCAGAAAATTCTTGGATCGGATGGGTCCAGCACAAGTAATGGTATTGAGGCCATTGCCGAATCTACAGACCATCATTCGCTACCGTCCATATCAACGGCCCCCTCCAATTTAGTTAAAACTGGTGTCGATCATCAAAACCGCGATATAGCATGTGTTCCGCCACCGCCATCTATTACCCCTAAAGTACCGCATCCACCAGAGAGAAATACAGCAACAAAATATACGAATGATATCGCACGAGACCAATGTCTCGTTATTCAGGGGCTCCCTGAATCTAATGCCAACACTCCTAAAGACCGGGTTTCGGAAGATCTAAGGCTTTTCCAAGGCTTGCTTAACAATATCCTGGAAACCACTGAGGCAATTGAAGTACTCAAAGCCTTCCGTCTCGGAAAGCGGACAAACAATCTGCCTACACCAACACGCCC